TGGCTAGTTATGATCCGTGTGTTCCCCCGCACCGAACTGACGGATGCCAGGTCGGGTAAACGCCCGTGGTTTCTTACTGTCGGCGTTGTATGTTTCCAAGTACCGGGATATGGCGTCTTCGAACCTTTGCCCTGCACGTCCGGAAGAAGTCCTTTTCCGCTGACAGAACGTTCCAATTCACTACGAAGAAAATGGCTTCTACCTCGTCCATGAGGCTCTTACATGCGGTTGGTCCTCTCCCCAGTTCCGATCTTCTGGAAGTAATCCACGCCTCCTCGACTGATTTCTACGAAATGCGACGTAGGACCGGGGTTAAGGTGACTATCAGAGCATGGATGAGACGGCTTTGATCGCCATGGGGATCATGCTGGAGGAGATGGCACAGGGGCCCAGAGGAAATTGGGCCCCCTGAGAGTCAACCTGCCTTCCGCAATGACCGCAGGGTGGATCGTAAGAGGGCCTAACACTGGGCGGAGTAGCATCCTTGCCAGCTCCGGGGATGACTTGGACAGCGTGGTCAAGAAGAAAAAGAAGCGATCGAAGAAGCCTCGTTTAGCAGCCGAGGAGCGATACCCACGGATATGGACACAGAAGCGGACACGAACACTATGCTAAGTAATGAGGCGTGCAGCCGCCGACGCCTCTTTCTTACCCGGCGAAGGTTGCTGTGTCTCTGAATGCTTATCTCCCACCCAAGCAACTTTCCTAACTGCACCCTTTCCCCCTGTATGGCAGGGGCCGAATAGTGATCCCTCAATCTGACGGGGAGATGTACCCAGGACCTGCAGGGATGGCTCGAACGTTGATCTCCTCCCACACGGTCCGAATGATCCCAATCTGAGGCCAAACAATGGCTGTCGCCGAGCAATGCGTGGCGTCCTCCGTTCCTCGGCAAGGTAGGCCTAAAGAAGTCCAGAGTCCAGGCGGCGGTTTTAGGGTCTTGGCCTGTTCCGCATGGGGACAAGGCGGGTACTAGATTGCGGTTCTGGCACCCCGGACTATCATCCCCGCGGTCATACTGGCTCGTTCCAACCCCCCGGACTGACCCGGCTCGATCGCCCCACCCTTTTCTTATTACTCCTTCATTCAATTAGCCTGAATTCATTTCTCAATATTCTTCTTCCCTGGTTAACGAAATGTCCCCTGGCGTCTGTTTGGGTAAATCCGACTGTGGAGTCAACTGCCGGATTGGCGGTTGAATGTATGGCCCGGTGGTTCGCCTTTGGCGTCTTGGATATGGATTTATCCTGGGTTCATCTGGGAACTGAAACGAGATGGGTCGGTCGTGCCTCGATAGGTAATTCTCCGCAGCGATATGTCCCACGTCGGCATTGGTTTACTCACACCAGACAGCGATGCCTGGAGCATTTGGACCCAGCAGGGGTGTTTTGGTTGAAGCAGGCTTAACCGATGGGAAAATTACTGGTAGAAAGCCCTCGTAGACGGTTGCTGTCATGAAAGGTTTACCTCATAGACGGTTGTTCTTAAGATCGCCCGTCCCACCGACGATGATCGTTCGATTCTGTGAGAGCCCAGAGTTGATGCCAAGTGGGAGATTGCCTGCAACCAGAGGGGATATCACACACACCTTTATTCGCCATGCCTTCGTCCTCTACCTTTGAACTTGCCGGACGGCAGTTCCCCAGGGTGACCTGGTACAAGGATCCTGGGATGAGAAAAACCTATATCTGTCTGATGCTGGTTGTCTTGACTGCGGTATGTTTTCCCTACAATTCATACCAAGGTCACCACTGATATCCTCCTGTAGGCAACCAATGGCTACGACGGGTCGATGATGAATGGATTGCAGACTCTTCCGCACTGGCAAGAGTATTTCAACCATCCCGAAGGCTCAATGTTGGGCATTCTCAATGCAATCATGTCTCTTGGCTCGCTTGCGGCGTTGCCCGCTGTGCCCTATACAGCTGATATCCTAGGACGGAGAATGGGAATCTTGATTGGTTGCCTCATCATGTACGCGATTGAAGCCATTGCCTCGGGGTACATCGTGCTGATCGTATTAGGATCCTGGGTGTCGTTCTCCAGAGTGTTAGTGCCAACTATGGCATGTTCCTGGCTGCGCGGTTTTTGATCGGATTCGGAGTAGCTATCGCTCATGGAGCTTCTCCTTTGCTGATTACGGAACTGGTGCACACCCAGCATCGTGCCATCTTTACTACCATCTACAACAGTAAGGACAGGTTGCCGTGATTTGCCTACTGGCCGCTAACCTGCGATAGCCACATGGTACCTAGGCGCGATCATCGCCGCCTGGCTGACTTTCGGCACCAACAACATCGATAGTAACTGGTCCTGGAGAGCACCGACTGTTGTCCAGGCTGCCCCGTCGGTCCTCCAGATCATCTTCGTCTGGTTCGTGCCTGAGTCACCCCGCTTCCTGATCTACAAGGGTAAGGACGAGCAGGCACTGAAGGTGCTGGCCGACTGTCACGCGAATGGAAATCAACAGGATGAGGTTGTTCAGCTGGAAATGCACGAGATCAAGGAGACTATCCGCCTTGAAAAGGAATTCGAGAGCAACAGCTGGATGGAGCTGGTCCGCACCAAGGGCAACCGGCACCGTCTTATCATCTGCATTACTGCGGGACTCTTCTCGCAGTGGTCTGGCAACGGTCTGGTGTCTTATTATATTGCCAAGATTCTGACCTCGATCGGGTATACCAGCTCCGTTCAGCAGAACCTGATCAATGGCTGTCTCCAGATCTTGAACATGATTGTGGCGCTGACGATGTGCTTCTTTGTGGACAAGATCGGACGGCGCAGGCTCTTCCTGGTCTCGACGGCGGGCATGTTGGTGGCGTTCGTTGTCTGGACGATCTGCTCGGCGCGGTATGCCATCGCGGGGAATCACAATGCGGCCAATGCCGTGATTGCGATGATTTACCTGTACTATGTGTTCTATAATATCGCATGGTCGGGTCTTCTGGTGGGATACACGGTGGAGATTCTCCCTTACAGTATCCGAGCTAAGGGAATGACGGTGATGTGGCTCTGCATTGATCTTGCTTGTAAGTGGTCCGACCTCGTATATAAGTTCTGTACTGACGGTCCGCAGTGTTCTTCAACCAGTACATTAACCCGATTGCGCTGGAGAACTTGGGGTGGAAGTACTATATCTTCTACTGCGTGTGGCTGGGCGTGGAGTTGACGGTGGTGTGGTTCTTCTACATCGAGACGCGCAACACGCCGTTGGAGGAGATTGCGAAGTACTTTGACGGGGAGAATGCGATCGTGGGTGGCGTTGCAGGCACGGAGAAGGCGCGGGAGTTGAAGAATACGCTACATATCGAGGAGGTTTCTTGATAAAGATAGAGTAGGATCTCGGGTATACCTTATATGTTGTATTATTTGATGGGTAGATGGTGTTGCGCCTGAGGATGCACCAGGTGACTTACTTCTACTCCCTACATCAACCTCACTACATCAACTTCGATCTTCCACACTCCTCTCCTTTCTCCGTCAACAAACAACCCCATTCCAATCGACACATATGATACATGAATGAATCACTAACTCACCCTGTCCCGAAGTCATCTATTGATTAAACCAGCGAAACAGGGCCACAGCTCAATCAAACATAGGTACTGGCAATGTCCACAGATCACTGCCCCCGAGAGTCTAGCAAAAAATTTCCACACAGCTTGATGTCCAAGAGGTTCCGTTCCCACAAGGAGATAGCGCGGAGATGGGACATATTATAAAGAGCTTACGTTCTTGTTCTTCTGGATAAGCATTTCGCATTGTTGTCCCGAAGCAGTTATTCTATCAAAGGGTAAACAGGACAAGGGAATTCTTGTATATAAAGCCCTCAAGCCCCTGACGTAGACCTACGTCTGACTATACTGTTCGAACCATTCGAACCACCATACTTCATCCCCAGGCCTTCAGAAAACACCCCAAAGCCACGCAGCCATGGCGCGTCTTGTTCAGTTGTCATCTATCAAACCACCGCAGATCACAAAGAACCAGAGACGCATAGATGGACCGAAGACAATGGCTTCTATGAGCCCGAGATCCCCTATTACCTGATGCTGTTCTTCCACGGCCCACGCCAAGTGGGATCTCAGCGGCGTATCAACTTACTGTCGCTTCTTAAGACTACTCTCATAGCTCCTTATGTCACTTTTGGTATCAGTTAGGCAATGGTGATAGGCTAGCAATGCCGATGATGACCAGCGGTCACATAGATTATCCCCAAATGAGCGGGCCGACTGTTGAGCCATATATGCCTGTTCTATGGAAATCAGACACTGATTACAGCCATATACTATTTGAAAAATGATCTTCCGGCTTGTGCAAGCCAGAAAGGGCAGCGTGTATCGACAACTGGCCGGTTGGGGCATCGGCCGCCGAGCTCGCGGAATCAAGTCTGGCACTGGTCATTGACATTCTCAGACATTCAGACTACTCGATCGTTGATACGGTGGTGTTTTGTTATGCTCAGCTTGACTCATGTGCTATAGTCTGCAGATAGCTGGATCTTCTCGGTCGGGCTGCCTGTCACCATAAGAGTTGTGGTCCCACCGTTGGTATAAGCTATGAACTGATTATGTCGAGAATCTGTAGCGAAGATGATATACACAGGTCTTCGAGAAACCGAGCGATCCAATCATATAGAACAGACACTGCAAGCATACTAATATTATGTGAGGTCCATATGCCTAGGTCTGGGGAGTAGCTGACCTGCTTCTTGGGACGAATAATTCGTCTCGTACCATGCTACAAGGGAAAAGCCCCAGCTACCATCATTTTAACTCTTGTGTTTGTTTACCATGGGATATACAAGCGCAGGCTTTTTCCTTTCGCATCCCATGCCTTCTATCCACCGTCTGCGCAACACTCACCAATTCGGCTACACTCGTAAGGAAGAACTTATCATGATAGGTGACATTGGCCTCTATTACGTTGGGAACCACAAACATCTCATACGTTCTGACAGCAGAGCCTGATTAGAGAGTGCATGCCTGATTGGCGCCACCATGCAGAGCGCAAACAACGTCAACAAGCGCGATGATCCCTATCACTTCTTTGGTGACCTTTGGCTTGAATCCCCCGAGGAGCATCTCAGCAGGGAAGAGTTATCCCGCCTGATGGCCTTCGAGCCTCTCATCTGCGACTTGGAGAATCGAACTCAATGTAAGGCAATATGATTCTGTGACCAGGGCAGCCATTTCAGGTAGCTAACTCTACAACGCGTGACAGGTTCGGCACACGATATACGCAACGCGTTCTCGAACTTTGCCTTACGTGAAACAGAAGCATGGGAAAGTCTCGGAGTAGAAAGGTCTTTGAAACTACTGGTACAACCCAGTGGCGATGTCGGTGCTGTTGTTGCCTGTCACCTTCACAATCCTACCTTCTACGCAAAGGACCCATACTGTAAAGAGACAGAAACCAAGTCAAATCCTACAATTCAGCAGGTTAATCAAGCCGGTTTTTCGTCTCAAAATTGTTTCATCTTCGATCACATCTGTCGCCGTGACAGAACAGAAGACGTGCTGCTGTTCTATAATGACGAGATAATTGGGATTCACGAAGACTTCATGCTCTCTCTGAGGAGACGAATGGGTGCTAAAGTCGAGATATGCTGGGGAAGACATGTGCGCGAAAGGATGAAGAAGCTTGTTAACCTTGTTCCCTTCAAACTCTGGGGTCGGTTCCAAGATGTGGAGCTATACCTAGAATTAGAGGGCCAGAGGCTCATAAGATTCGTTATCTTTGTGGCACACCCACAGTTCTTTTTTTATCATGGGTTTTTTACGGAGAATGGTGTGCGTTTCAGAGCAACGTCTGCAAAAAAACAAGACCTATACCTGACAGTCGCTAGCAAGCTGGGCGGCATCGCAATCAGGCAGGATTTCTACGAGACCATCCATCGTCCTGCCCTCTATGGGCAGTTCACCCGGGAACATAGGGAAATCGTCAATCGGTTAGAAGCCGATGCTGATTCCCAGCTAAAGAAGGCATTCCCACAGAAATACCATCAGCTTGAATTGGCAATGGAAGTACGTGGAAAGAAACCCTGCGACGGGGCGCTCACACAACAATCCTTATCACAACTGATAATAGGGGATACCGTACAAGAAGTATGTACTCTACCGAGACCTCGTGGCCGTTCCACCACTAATATCAAACAGGAACTACGGCGATCTCACCATATCCACAACATGTCTCGATCTTTTCTCGAGGCTGCCGGACAAGTCCTTGTAGGTAGCACCAATGTTCGCAATACAACTCAGCTTCAGCTTCTGTCAGAACTTCCGTCTGATTGGGACAGTATTTCAGAGTGGCATGAGATCCCGGACCCACTCGTTGAATGGATTCACCAACAGGCTGGCCTTCAGGTAGACCAGAAGCCGATTTCATCCAAAGACGAGCTTCTGACAGCATTCTACTTTTTATCGCCTGCCAATTACGGGCAGTCCCACGAGTCTCTTATGCATGTTATCGTCAAGGTGGGAATATGGTACATTACCAGGGTGCAAAAGAAAAGGCACGAGAGCGTTGTGGATCTGATCATCCCTGGCGCAAGGCCTTACGACATTGTCCGCAGAAAATGTTCGAAATGTGGCGAAAGAGTCCTTGATGATGCCTTTGCTTCTTACGCGAAGGAAGATCCGAAAAAGTACGTCATTTGGTATCGTCTACATGGATGTGGCCGTCCAGCCTGCAGTTCTGCTGTAGATGGTACCTGTTTTGCAAACCTTATCCCGCTGGACCCAAACCAGGGCTACAAAATCGCAACACGTCGGAGCCTCCAGTGTGCGCGGTCGGCAGTCTGGGAGGAATACCTGCTGCGCCTGTCGGAGGATGAACGAAGGGCCACGCAGAAGGAGGTCCAAACCCGCTGCGGAAACTGTGGGACTGAAGAATACCTCGACAGAAAACCCAGGTGGACTGCCGAGCCATCATCAAGGTACGTCATCCCCGTCCGGGGATGCAGGGTATGTAAGAAGAGGTTCTGTTCATTTGTTCCGACGGACCCAAAGATTGTCACCATATCAAAGGCTTCACTGAGCAAGAAATGGAGAGATCTCAAGCAAGCTGGTATCGACCCAATCGATTATCCTCGCAGGCCAGAGATATTATGGTCACATAAATCGCACCTTACAAAGCGCAAGGAGTTGGAAAGGGAAAGAGACATGCTTTTGGCTAATGAGGAGGCTGAACTACTGAGTCAAGAGCCGAAGAAGAGGAACTTCAACTCGAAAAGAAGGCTGAAGTCTTAGGCAGCAGTCGACATAGGAAGATTGTGCAGACTACCCCGTTCCCTCAGGCCTGTATGCGGTACAATCATGTTGAAGTGAAACCGGAGACATTCTGGGGACCGTGACGAAAGACACGAAACGTCCAGGTTTTTAGGCAAACTGCAGATAGAATTTATGAGCATGCATGTAACTCTAGTCAGTGGTAGCAGTAAGGTTAAGTTCTCCGCAGTTTGGTCCTAGCCATTATTATACGGTCCATCATCTTCTCGTTCGTTGTCTTTTGGTTTATAAAACAAAAAAAATAAGGTTAATTCAACAATCGGCCGGTTGGTCTAGTTGGTTATGACACATCGTTAACACCGATGGGGTCGCCGGATCGAGCCCGGCACTGGTCATTGTTTTTTATATATTTCTGATATACACGCATCCTATCGTCCTAATCGTCATTTTTCCCTTCTCACTGCAAGCTCTAACATTCCGTATTTGACTTCTATTAAATTACTATTAGATCAACCCCTGTCTCGTTCATATCTACCATTCCAGTCAATCTGACCCTCCCTGTCCCCTCAGTATTCTATCACAACCTGGATCCTCCGATCGTCCGCCGGGTCCCGAGTGTCTCAGTGGCCAATTCCTCTTTTCTTGATGTCTAACAAAGAGGATTTGTAACTGACAATCCAGTTACTCCGTCACTCGGCGATGTGATATGCCATTATCATTTCTTCCGATTTCGCCCCCCCGCAGCTTCCCCTTAAAAAGGACCCACGTTTTGCTGCAGCTCGGGCGAAGGGAGCTGCGGAGCTGTCTCATGATATGGAGCATAATCATGATAAGTATCTATGTATGGCATATGGGGAATGGCTCGACCCCCAGACTCTGGTTGTCCAGCTTTCCCCAAAAGATCGTACATATATGTAGCCATTTCGCTTCTCTCCCAGCTCCGAATTCCTCTCCGCAGCTTCTTCCTTAGTTTGATGCCCTCCCCCGCTATTGTAGCCTTCACCGCCAACCACAAGTCTGCTGTTATTATTATTGAATTCGTTGCCCTCCACCATAACAACAATAATCATCCTTCATCTCTAGTGGGATAACGTTGGTATTCCTACAAAGGGCACCATGGTTGAGCTGATTCCTCCCCCCGATCCTCATACTTTGCTCCCTCCTCTCTTAGCTTGCCTTCCCACAGCGTTTGTCTCGACCCGCCCTCCTCCAGTGCTTCTACCCCTCCTATCACCTATTCTCCGACATCGTGTTCAGATCCTCAGTTCAGTCTCCACATCTCCGACCGATTCGTGGCTGCGGTTACTATGCTGGGATTCCGAAAAGGCTGAGCGTCTTCAAGCGCTGGTGGATGGCGCCAGTTTCGAGCCTCACCCAGTGTCGGGGGAGATTGAACTCCCAGAAGAAGTTCATGTTGCATACAAACGGGTGGACGAGGAGACATTGCACTCGCGAATTCTGTTACCGGAATACAGCTTGAAAGCTATATACCTCTGGTGTCGCAGTGATCAAGACGGAGGTGGACCCGGATGGCGTGTCGCTGAATTGATGCCCCATGAAGGCGGCGCCGAAAACGATGGGGTTTGGTCATTCTCGATCGGGGAGGCGAATGCTCAGGCAAAGGAACAACTGGTGGAGGATGCTCTTAGGGAGGCAGAGCAGGATCAAAAGGTCGCCCCGCACACCCAGGAGAAGGACGATGAGGAGGATGATGACGACGGCTATTGGGCTCAGTACGATGCTACACCTGGCCGAACGCCTTCCGTCAAGCCCCCTGCCCCCAATCCACTGTCGTCTCTCCACCGCCAGGATACGTCCGAAGCGTCGTATTTCTCACGCTACGCTGATGTGCAACCCGCAATGGATAACCACGACCCATCAGAGGAGCAGTCGGAGGTTGGTCCAACTTCATTGAACGGAGACATGCTGGCGAGTTTGCTGCGGCAGCAGGTGAATGACTCAAGCTTGGAAGAATCGGCTCGAACGAACGGCTACGCCAATGGAACAATTGCCGACGAGACCACCGCGATGTCGCTAGATCATCCTCGGCCGTCTTCCACGTCGTCCACTGCGTCCGAGGCGGCAGTCGCAAAGTTGGAACAGGAAGCGGAGCATCAGTCTGCATGTGAAGTCGGCGTGAAGCAACATATCAGCTCCAATATTAAAAGCCTATTCCGGCTTGCAAAAATTACGGGCATCTCGCGTGCAGAATTTCAATCTCTGGTCAAGACGGAGTTGGAGTTGTTGAATTTGTCTGATGAGGAATAAATCTGGTGACACCGCTGAGGACGGCTGTTTACGACAAATGATTCTCTTCTTATTGATATTGCCGGTTTTGTACATTATACCATCCTATTTGCTGCCCTTTTTTGAGCGTTGGGAGTTGCATCACTGTCTCACAGGATATCCATTTGTTTAGGACAACAGATTGCTTGCGGTCAAGCACAACATTGGAATCAATAACTACTCGGAATTAGCACAGATCCCATCAATGTTAAAGATAAATCAAGCATCATATTTGCTAGGGTAGCATGTTGTCGGCCTCATACTTTCATAAGGTAGGGTAAATAGTTCATAGAGTCGACGCTCGGACCAACGTCTTGTTCCGTTCCGCGTGTCCTCCGAATAATGACACGCAATCCGCTTACAGACAACCGACCCCCCGTAAATATAGGTAGCCGGCAGTATATCTTCCTCCCCCACTCCTCTTCCAAGCCTCGCTACCATCTGTTCTACTGTATTGTACTCCGCACTACCATGTGCTTTCCGTGATCATCATTGTAAGTTATTGCTCAATGGCGATCCTCTGATCCTGGAGCTTATCTTCACTGTCCTGTTCTGGTTCGCTGATCTTATCTGTCAATTCCAGCTTTATCTAGGTGATCGACTGTCATTCTCTTAGCTCCTTTTTCTTGTTGTGTACTTTTCTTCTGGTCATGTCTTCATCTCCTTCGTCCTCTCTTCGCAAGAGAGGCGGGAGGAAGGAGGCTTATTCTCCATTGCCTTCGGACGATGCCTCCTCTCCTTTGTCTTCATCCAAGCCGAGCGTGGCTCTCAAGAGCCAGTCGGGATGGGACTATAGGCTGGCCTTAGTCGTTCTCACCATCCTGGCTTTCATTACCCGGTTCTACAAAATATCCTACCCTAATGAAGTGGTCTTTGACGAGGTGCATTTTGGCAAGGTAAGTGAAGCCTGTCCTCATTATTTATGGATTGAACAATCTGACATGAGACTTGGGTTTCTCAGTTCGCTTCTTACTACTTACAAAGAACATATTTCTTCGACGTCCACCCTCCATTTGGCAAATTGCTCTTCGCTTTCATGGGATGGCTGATTGGCTATGATGGCCACTTTTTGTTCGACAACATTGGCGACTCCTACATCGATAACAAAGTTCCCTATGTCGCTCTCCGCGCAATGCCGGCCACTCTGGGGGCTCTGACCATCCCAGTGGTCTTCCTCATCATGTGGGAGTCCGGATACTCGTTGCCGGCCTGCGTATTGGCTGCCGGTCTCGTACTGTTCGATAATGCCCATGTCGGAGAGGACAGACTGATTCTGCTGGATGCCTCCTTGGTTCTTTCCATGGCACTAAGCATCCTGTGTTACGTTCGCTTCTACAAGCTGCGCCATGAACCCTTTGGCCGTAAATGGTGGAAGTGGCTGCTCTTGACGGGCGTTAGTCTCAGCTGCGTCATCTCTACGAAGTATGTCGGTGTCTTCACGTTTGTCACCATTGGTGCTGCGGTCTTGGTTGACCTGTGGAACTTGTTGGATATCAACCGCCCATCGGGAGCTCTCAGCATGACACATTGGAGCAAGCACTTTGCTGCCCGCGCATTTGCCCTCATAATTGTGCCTTTCTTCTTCTACCTGTTCTGGTTCCAGGTCCATTTCGCAATTCTCACCCGCTCCGGGCCAGGCGATGATTTCATGACCCCGGAGTTCCAGGAAACCCTCAGTGACAACCTCATGTCGGCGCAGTCGATCGGCATTCAGTACTATGACACAATCACCCTCAGACACAAGGACACCAAGGTGTTCCTTCACAGCCACTGGGAGAAGTATCCCCTCCGCTATGATGACGGCCGTATTTCCAGCCAGGGCCAGCAGGTCACAGGATACCCATTCAACGATACGAACAATCACTGGCAGATTCTGCCTTCTGTTCCCTATCCTGACAGCGACAGGCAAGGCCACAGCGTCAAGAATGGCGACACCGTCCAGCTCCGTCACGTCGGCACTGACACCATTTTGCTGACGCATGATGTCGCGTCTCCTTCCTATCCCACCAACCAGGAATTTACCACCATTTCTCATGAATTGGCCAATGGTGAGCGACACAACGACACGCTGTTCGAGATCAAGATCGAGAACGGCAAGCCTCAACAGGAATTCCGGACTCTCTCAAGTCATTTTAAGCTGATCCATGTGCCCACTCGCGTCGCAATGTGGACCCATACAACCCCCCTTCCTGAGTGGGCCTTTAAGCAAGCCGAGATTAACGGTAACAAAAATGTCCTTCAGACGAGCAATCTTTGGTTCGTGGACACAATCGAGTCGCTGGAGGAAGACAGCCCCCGTGCGATGAAGCAAGAGCGCCAGGTCAAACATCTCCCCTTCTGGCGCAAGTACCTTGAGCTGCAACGGGCCATGTTCTTCCATAACAATGCTCTGACCAGCAGCCATCCGTACGCCAGCGAGCCCTTCCAGTGGCCCTTCCTACTCCGAGGTGTCAGCTTCTGGACCAAGAATGACACCAGAGAGCAGATCTACTTCCTTGGTAACCCCATAGGATGGTGGATTGCCAGCAGTCTGTTGGCTGTCTTTGTTGGGGTCATCAGCGCTGATCAGCTGTCCCTTCGCCGCGGAGTCGACGCTCTTGAAGAAAGTAAGTATCAAGGAACCTCCAGTCCATACAACGACTCTCTATCTAACCTTGTCTTCTAGTTTGGGGCCGTGGCGCTCGTTCTCGTCTCTACAACAGCACTGCCTTCTTGTTCCTTTGCTGGGCTGCCCACTACTTCCCCTTCTGGCTGATGGGTCGCCAGCGTTTCCTTCACCATTACCTTCCGGCTCACGTCGCGTCTTGTATGGTCGCGGGAGCCCTGATCGAATTCATTTTCAACCTGCAGCCGATCTCGGTTGCTAAAGCTGTAAAGGAGGATGATCCAACCGGCAAGTCCAAGGCGCATGGTAGCGCCGGTCATTTTGTCACCGCGAAGGAACGAATGGGTCGCCAGTCGCTCATTGCCGGATGGGTTGCGACCCTGGTCATTCTGAGTGTGACGATCTGGGGATTCTGTTTCTTTGCCCCCCTGACGTACGGTACCCCTGGCTTGGATGTTGCGGGCGTCAATGCACGGAAATGGCTGGGCTATGACCTGCATTTCGCCAAATAATTAGCTTTTCTTTAGGAGGCGCATTGCCTGGCAGTTGGCTAGGATGTCCAGTTGGGGTATGATGGGCTCTTGTGCCTCTTGGGGTTCCTTTTCTCCTTCACTGATATTCAGTGAAGCAATGCCCCGGGAGCTTCTGTGCAATTACCGCAAACTAGGAGCTTCCGTCACAAGTGAACGGTGGATGATGATGTTAGTGATGCCCTTTCCTCATTGGTCACAAATAATTCCTCGCGGTCGAGCCACGCGCAAGCGTGGAATCTCTTCTCTTTTCCGTCCTTCCAGTCTATACTGTCTACATCTTTCTATATATGTATTTTGATATCCGTTAGCAATAAGCTTCATTTACTGTCTACCATTACTGTAGCATGCGAGCTAGCAACCAAAATGAGAAAACAGAATTCATATTTCAGAGCATACAAAACTCTTAACGCCGTCCGTGGAGTATCATAGATGCACAAGTAGAACAAACACCAAAAATAACATCAACAAGTCTATAGGGTAGGCTACATTGCACCCTAGTAGGTCATTCTCTTGCCGATCTCGCTCTCCCACCCACGGACTCGCTCGAACCCATTCGACGCGGTCTGGTAGTCAAGCATGGCCTGGTAGACCTCCTCCTGGCTCGTGAGAACAAAAGGCCCGTACTGCACGACCTTCTGATCCAGAGGCTGGCCCGCCACGAGGATGAAGCGGGACTCCGACTCGGCATTATCCGGGACCGACGCCTCGACATAATCACCCGCCTGGTCAAAGACGACATTATGAAACTCCTTGACGACCCGGGTGGTGTCATTCGAGCCGAAGATCGTCGTCCCAGAGAGCGTATACGCAAACGCATTCCAGCCCTTCGGCAGCGGCTGGGAGATGCGGCCGCCCGGCCGGATCGTCACGTCCAACAGCCAGACAGGCGTGTACGCCAGGTCACGCACAGAGTCGACCCCATGCGACTGGCCGGAGATGACCTTGACCGTGACGCGGCCGTCGTCGACCTCCGCGACGGGGATCTCGCTCGCGCGGAGATCGCGGTACCGCGGCTCGCACATCTTCAGCTCCTTGGGCAGGTCAACCCACAGCTGCATGCCGACGTTGGGCCTGCCGTCAGGGTTCTCGCGGGGCATCTCGGCGTGCATAATGCCCCGGCCGGCGGTCATGAACTGCAGGTCGCCAGGGCCGATGGTGCCTTTGTTGCCGGCGAAATCTTCGTGGTCGACGCCGCCGGAGAGCAGGTAGGTGATTGTCTCCTGGCCGCGGTGGGGGTGGTCTGGGAACCCTGCGCCATGGCCAATGGTGAAGTGGTCCAGCATGAGGAAGGGGCTGAAGTTGCGCAGTTTGGGGGTGCCGATGGACCGGCGGACGCGGGCGCCGGCGCCTTCGGCTTGTTCGATGGCCAGGAAGACCTGACGGATTGCGCGGGGGACTGCCATATCGGTGAGGGGAAGGACGATTGGCTCGGTGTGCTTGATGGGAGGAACGGAGGAGGTGGCGATGCTGTTGTTCTTTCGCAGGTACTGCGACAAAGTGGTGGAGAGTTGTTCTTTGAGCGAAAAGCTTAGACTTCCGAGGTGAGCTGAATCAGAGGCGAACTGATATGAGAGGAAGACTGCTGCGATGCAAATTGAAAGTGATAAAAGGAGTTTCATTGATCACAGTCGCAGCTACTTATACTTGACGGACACAATGCTAGGAAAGCTGTAGAACAGCCTGGAGCGAGGATGGAAGCTTTTAACTGAGAAATACTACAGCACTGTCAGCGTTAGTCAGTCATTAGTTTATATCTCCGTGTCCTTGGATTAGCAATAGGTCAAAGAGTCGATCCACTCTATCAGAGCAATTCCATCTGGGTCTGTGGGGTGTCATTCTCATTGACTTGCCAGAGGTGACGGATAATCGACCAATTCCCATGGGTGATGTGTATTGATCCGTAATTATTAGATGATGACCAAGATCCGTGTCAGCAGGTGCTAAGCTATTCTGGGACACTGGCCCCACTATATTGGGCCTCGGAGCCTGAGTTGCCAGGCACCAAGTCTCTATCAGCTCTGTGTCAGCATTCTAGAAGTTTTGCAAATCACTTATTCATGAAGCTGTCTCTTGTCATATAGCAAAGAATTGCCAATTCCTTCAACAAATCCTCGATGGTCTAACGGTCATGATTTCCGCTTGTCACTCTAATGAGAACGAGCGCGGGAGACCAGGGTTCGACTCCCTGTCGGGGAGGATTCTTTTTCGTCAGTCCAGGGCCACGTTCTGGAATTGAGTTTATTTTTGCCTTTCTAAAAATAACATTGTAGTGTATTTACAAGAAAGCTCAAAACTTTAGAGTGCCGTTGCGGCATATACCTTGCTAGAGCATACACTTGTGAACATCTCATTTCTCAGGCCAAGGCTATGTACCGTACATATTAAAATTGGCAAAGCGACAAAGGAAATCACATGAGACCGTGGAAGGATAAGTCACAAAAGAGGATCAGCGCAAATGGGATGAACGAAAGAGACAACTCGAGAGGCAAAATCCCAACCAAAGTATGTGTCAAGAGCATCAAGATTGAACACAACAGCCGTAACGACGAACTGTGCGGAAGAAGAGCTGTGTCCTTGTGCATGGAAAATGGTAACAACAAGAAGAAGGAAGGATATCTCTCTTCCAAGATTACGCAGGGCCCCAAGTGGCTGAACGGCGGGTGAGACGAAAGGAAACGAGAAAACGAAATAGTCTAGCTCGCTGAGGCTGTAATAGGGGACCGAAGCATGGCTTTAGAGCTCGCTGAGTCGAATCGAATAATATGCCATGAACCAGTTGCTGTACGCGTCTCAGCATCACGCTCAGCAGAAACAAGAGACATCATCCGTAAGGTTGCATTCAATCCCGCTGGCAAGAAATAGCAGAAAATAATGTATAGCAGAGAAATGGTCATGTGCCGCAGGACAAATCAGATTATATACACCGCGCTCTTTCAGAAGCCGAATGGATTTGTGGGCGCTAAAAGGAGAGAAAAGTCAGTGGCCTTGAACGAATGGTGACAGGTTGGCACATCGTAGCAATGGGGAACTCACTAGCTTGTGCAAGGTTAGCCCGCAGACCTGTTGGCTGGGGGGTCAGCTTCTTGGGAGCATCATGTTTGACCCCAAATCGTACGGGAGGAGGTGGTCCAGTCTTCTGTGGCTGCAAAGGTGCGGCTGTGGGCTGTTGGGGAATAGGGGGTACCGGTGGCGGGGAGGTTACAGTATAAGGCATACTGCTCGCACCGTTCATACCGGTCGGCTGGGGTTGCAGAGCCGGAGGAAGTATCGAGTTAATGCCTGTCGGCATTGGTCGCTGTGGCTGGGGTTGAAAGCCTCCGAAGCCTGTCGGCTGCGGTGCAAGGCCCTGGAAGCCAGTCTGCTGTTGCTGTAGCTGCTGAATGCCAAATTGTGACTGTGGCTGGAACCCTGTGGCTTGTGGCACCAAGCCACTTGCAAACTGACCTTGCGGCATGAAACCAGTCGGCTGCGGTGGGAGCGATGGATTGAAGCGGTGCTGGGTCAATTCGGTCAGACTCTGGCCAGGCGGGGCGATCTGTGGGCCGGGTTGAGGAAGACCGGTCAGTTGTGGTTGCAGTGGAGGTGGACCAAAAGTATTTGGCTGCTGGGGGAAGTTCTGTGGCGCGGAAAGCGGCCTCTGTGGAGGAGGCGGGAGGAGCGAGCTCTGAGCCATATTCTGAGGGGGTTGTGGGCGCTGCCTCGATGCCTGCTGAAAGCCTGTCTGTTGGGGGCTGAATGTCTGGGGCCCCGTCTGCATGGGCTGCTGTGCTATTTGTGCCACTTGGTTGAAAAAGCCAGGAGTGGCACCTGTCTGTTGCGGCTGCATCTGGGGCATAGGCACTGCAGTCGGCTGTGGCTGGATAGTAGCGGGGGCTGACGGAGCTTGAGAGGTCTGAGAAGTAGGTGTGGGCGCCGGCTGTGCAGGAGTTGGCTGGAGAGGTGCTTGCAGTAGAGATAGGTCAGCCATTGCCCCAGTAAGTTGCTTTTGCACTGGAGCTTGGGTTGTAGCGGGCGGTGCTGTGGCCGGAGGTGGGGATGAAGGAGGTGGCGCCGAAGATGCCGCCTGTTTAGGTTGCTTCACCTCCCAAGCATCGTCATCGAAGCCGCGTTGTACCGGTTTCTCAACTGCAGCAGGAGCGGGTGGAGTTTCCGTGCGTTCCTGGGGGTTGGGTGCATCCTCCTTCTGCTCGAAGGCCTTCGGATCGACCACATCACCGGTCTGGACTGCGGGTGCCGGCCTGCCCTTACGGGTGTTGTTGCGTAGAACACCTCCTGGGCCGGAGAAAAGACCGACGGGAGAGCCAGCCTCCCCATTGCTGATGACCTCTTCTCCACCGAAGCTGACATTGCGCAGCTTGGACTTGGACCCAGTTCTGCCGAACATATTGTCCAGATGCCGCATAACCCGAAGGATATCACCCTCCTTCAATCCAAGGGTACGCAGGGTCTCAGAGGTAATGTCCGGTAGAATCGCTTCATCCATGGAGTCCTTGATAAAGTTCTGAGCATACCGCTCGCATTGATGAGGTCCAACTCCCGCTTTTAGGAAGAAATCAAACCAATCATACTCGGGCCCAACTGACGCACCGGGACGACTGCCCTCGGATTTTGGCTCGGATTTCTGAGCTCGGCGGCGAATATCGGACAGAGGCTTGTCTTCGTCCAAAGACACGCCCGTAAGTTTTTCCACGTATTCAAGATCCTCAATAGACATCTTGGGGATTGGGACAGCAATCTTGACTCCGTTGGTCTTATGGAGGTGGATCTTTCCATCTTGTAAGCCGATGAATTGCGCTTCAACCGTGAAAGACTTGGTACGATCTGTCCACTGCCTTGTCTTGGCAGGATCCGGTTCTGTAATGTCATTTAGATAGGGATTTCAATTTATCAGGGGCTTAGACAAAGCGGGGGAAAGGACTTACTCGGTTTGGTGGCGCTCTTGCTGTCGCGTTTTTTGTGCTGCTCGAGATAGTCAGTATATCCTCTTACCAGAGTCACTGTCGCATGATAGGGTAGCTTAACAGCGCAGCTTACCTCAGAGGTTCGCGAATCTATCGAGTCAGTCCTCGATTTCCGCATAGCTTCCTTGGCCAGGCGGGTCTCTTCGAGCCGGTTCCTTTCTACCGTTGACAGGCCCGATTCGACGCCCGTGGGTTGACTGGAAACAAAGCCCGTGATCTCGATGTAGCTGCTTGGTACCACACCCTCTTTGCCATTCTTCATGCGTCGCACCATCCACCATTCCTCAGATTTGGTGTCGTCCAGAACGACGACCTCATCGCCGGCAGCCACAGTGACCTCGTCATCTCCTTGCGCCATGAAATCATACAAAATTTGACCCTTCTTCTTGCCACCGCCTCCTGAACCTGCCGCAATCACTTCCTTCAGGCCCTCGGCACGGTAGGCTCCAGAGATCTCACCGAGCGCGGAAACAATCTCTCGAGCGGTGTCCTTAGCCCCAGCATGAAAATCAATGCTTTTGCTGGGCCGAACCAGGTCGAGGAAGACATGCTTGCCTTCAATCGAGTAATGGGTGAGTCTATCCGCAGTCCATTCTTGCATGTCGCCGTCCCCTTCTGGTGAGATGAAGATCGTTCCAGTCGCGATGTTGATTCCCAATGTCGTTGGCATCTTCTTCCTCTTGCCCATAACTTCAACCATTTCATTGATATTGTACAGATGGTAGCCGGAAGGGGAACGAGGTGTCGACTGTCCGATTCGATTATATGGGGGAGACTCCCGCACATGGCCCTGGCTATCCTGCTCCCTCACCGCGACATACTGGGGGCGCGGAGGAGGAGAGGGCTCTGGCGGAGAGTACCGGTCCACTGGAGGAGAGAGCGGTTGCGACGGAGGTCGCTGCGGTAACACTGGAGGCGGCGGCGAGGGTTCCCTCTGATAGCTATCTTCTGGTTGATAAGACGGTCGCTGGGGCTGCGGCGGCGGGATATCCCTGGAGGGTTCGGATTCCACGGGTGAAGCATGCTGTTTATGAATGATATTCGCTATTGCTGCCGCCGCTGGGTTCTGTATCGTGTCAATCGGAGAGCTAGTAGATGCGGGCGCGACCGGTTCCTCCGCCGGTACCTCCGCCGGTACCTCGACTGGCCGTTGCGGAAGGGCCGGAGCCGACGGCTCGACAGGAGCAGGAGAAGGAGACGGGAGAGAAGGCGGGGCAGCGGGAGTATCGCCCTCCTGAATCTCGATGTAGTTTGCAGGGGCGAAGCCGAAATCCCCATTGACACCAACTAACGTCCAATCTGGATCGGAAGTATCGTACACTACCAGTTCCGCGTCCTCAGAGAACGAGACTTCTTCGTCGGTCTGGCGCGTATAGTCGTACAGTGCCTTTGCATGGCTGATCGCGGGAGCCTATACAATTTGAATGAGTGCCCTGTTAGCACATCCATCATCTCATCGTAAGAAAGAAGAGTCCGCGGTAGAGCCATGATTGGCATAACCAAACACCCCAAGCGCGCCCCGAGGCTCTCAGACAGATTCGATGCCCCGGATCCTTGGGTCATGAAGCGTCCATGACGGTATAGCTCACCTCCTCGACATAGTTATTCGGTACAAGACCCTCCGGTTCATCCTCGTCATCCCGTTCGGCCTTCTTCTTTGCTTTCCACCAATCGTCTTCGACGCTTTTCTCGAGAATGTAGAGCAAATCACCCTCGCGAAGTTCGAGTTCACCTTCGCCTTGAGGCTGGTAGTCGTAGACCGCTTTGTATACCCCGAGGAACCCCATTTTGGATTCAAGCCCCCAGGCGAGCGCCGTCTAACTCTCGAGGAGGACAGGATGGCTATTATTCAGCGGTTCCGACGGTTTGGCGCGGGCTGGAAGTGACGCCAAGTTTTTATGTCAACAGTCAGGGCGAGCCGGCCGTCCGTAGGGGTTGTCAAGTTCGAAAGGTTAGTCTAGATAGTCGAAGGCCGGTTGATGGTCGGTGGATGGGGGGGGAACCGGCAAGCCTTGGCAATTGGGTATCCCCTCTCCGGAGTTCTGGCCAGATCAGGGTAAAGGGGCTAATTATGCGATGAAGAAGACCTGGGGGAAGGCGAGCGTTTCAATTACGCAAATTAATGTAAGTGTTCGAGGAGAAGAGTAAGAAAAATAGAGATGACGGGGGTAGGGACGGAGAGGGAGAGGTTCAGTAAGAGAGAGGATGAGGTTGTCAGCCAGAAGCTAGTAGTGAGTAGTAGTCTAGAGTGGGTGAAGGTACGTAGTTAGCAGTTCTCCGGACGGAGTACGGAGACTTACTTAGTGCCTGGTTTGTGGCCCCGGCACCTTGGAACTGTGGCTACTGTACCTTGCTATCTTTAATAATTACAGTCAACTCGGCGATTCGATGCTAAATAAAATCCCTGAATGATTGCAACAGCCAGAAAGAATTCAGGTACCTGTATATATTCTGCAATATCACCTATCACCTCATTTCACACCATCTACTGTGTGGAGGACATGGTCCCGCCTTGAGTCTACTAGTCTACTGTGCTAGACGCTTTCACGCTGGGGCTTTGGGCAGCCGTTCCTGGCGTCAACCACAAGCGATGATCAGGTCAAAACGGATGAATCCCCTCGTGCTTATTTGTTTGAGGACAGGGAGGATCCCTACGTCATTTCTTAACTATCTCTATATCGAAGTGTGTTGAGCCAGTTGCCGCTCCAATTATACGCAGGCCCTTAATCCTCAACCGAATCCAGCAAAATATTCCGGAACGTGATAGGCAATGGTATCTCCAATTGTAGCTGAGGCTTGATAATACTAACGAAATGTACAAGTTCAAGGAAGAATTATACATCACCCAACCCGTCTAGAGCTCATCCTTGAAGAAGATTTCCTCGCTGCCGTCGTCGGCATCAGTAGTGGTCGGCCCGGATTCTTCTGGGTCCTGATGGTCCATCTTCTCGTCTGCCTTCTTCTTTTCCTCTCCTTTCTCTACATTTGATTCCGCCTTGTCAGCTGTAGTTTCCTGTGCCGGCTGCGATGTAGAGCCCTGCGCAGCCTGCTCGTTTTTCTCGTCGTCGTCGGGGTCGACGGTTCCGACTAAGCCACGCTCGCCGTTAGATTCGACAATCTCTAGTGTCCAGTCCTTGCCTTTGGCAATCTCCTCGAGGCGGCTTTTCAGCGTCTCGATCTTCTCAGGGTCAAGGCCGTATTTCTTCAACTCCTCCTTGGACAACCTAGTGATCTCTCCATTTTGACGCTTCGCAACCACCTCAATCTTCTCTTCTCCAATGGATGCCACTCGACCCTTCTCAATCTGCTTGCCCTCCGATCCCACCCATTTGTGCGCCCCGACCTCGATATCCCCGACAACAGGAAACTCGGATGTAATCGCAGATTCGACGAGTTGTTGAGCCAAATGATATTTCCGACTTGCTTCCCAATCGGGGACCTCCTCCTCGGAGAGAATCTCCCGGCATTCGATCGCGTGCGCCTCGTCCTGCTGAGGCGGCAGAAATGCGACATCGTTGCACAGGCGCGGAGTGTAGATCACCATCAGATATGAGCAAGTAGTAAGCTCCTTGATCCACCCAATCCGATCTGTGGATTGCGGATGGCAATGGAACTGCACTTCGATCTTCCGATTTTTACCTGTCAAGTCGCACTTGGTTCCGCCGCCCAGACGCTGCACTAGGTACCGCGACCCGCCTTTCGTCTGGAGCTCGGCGACATCTGTAGTTGTCTTTTTGTGATCCGCATCCCCCTCCAGATCCTCGTCGTCGCCACTATTGGAAAACCTGCCCAGCACGAAAGAATGGGTCGCAGAGTCTTCTATCGGCGGGTAGTTGGGCACGCCTGGGCCGGACGGTAGTGCATGAAACTGCTTGATTTGCTTCTTGTAGCAGAATGAGTATGACCACCATCCGGATATGTAGTACATGCATTTGCCTTCCATCTCGCGCAGAAGCTCCAGGCCACGGTCCGTCGCGCGTGCGATTTCTCGCTGCTCATCCTCTTTACTGGTGCTTTCCGCTCCGTTCGTCTGGTTCTTGTCGTCGCTGTCGACTTGCGGAATGGAACAGAGATATCGCTGTCCCTCAAGGAGCATCTCCTCGTATGTGAACCTAGGTCCTTCTATCGCCTCTTTATCGTCGTCTTCGGGTTTATCTTTTCGGCGTCCCATATATACTTGCGCATCATTGCCTTCAGCGAATGTTTTACCAGCGGAAGACGACGAGCTCTCTTGCTGATTCTGTAATAACTCCCTTGCCCGCGTATCAAGAATGTATTCATCAGGGAAGAAGACTTGGAACTACAAGCAGGACCCATTAGCATAATTGCTCGTTCATTTCCTGCAGAGGCCAAAAAAAGGAAACATCTGCGGCATACTTGAGGATACGCAAGTAGATCATCCTGTATGTTGAACGCCTTCTTGCTGGCCCATGCGCCGGAACCGGCACAAGCCAGCGCCAGCAATGGTGTAAGAGTCCGTATACGTCGAACCATGACTTCGTATTTTAGACCGATAGTGGCAACTAGATACCGATGGATCGTTATGACAGACAAGCCTTCGCTGGTGGACGGTCCGGTGGGAAGCTCGTAAAGCTACTGCCTTCAGTGTGGGGTGCCGGGGTCAATGAAGCGAAAGGCAGCAATTCGTTCTCATGATTAAAGCAGCATATAGGATCAAATCTCAGAATGCAGAGGTATGTCATTAGAAGTTATAGCTTCAGAACATGACAGTTGTAAACAACATCATTGATCTGCTATCATCGGCAGGAGATCCGCATTGTGTCCTTATCGACACGTGGATAAGGACTTCTTAGGTCATCCACCACGATGATAACGAACGATTCAAGGAAGCGAAGGAAGGAAAAGGAACGAACACAATGGAATCAATACTTGATTCCCACCGGAGGGTAAAATACTTTTTGACTACCTTGAAGTGATATCAATCTCCAGGTATATGATACTTCTATACTACAATCGTACGGTTCCCTACCACCTGGCAGTAACCAACAAATGCCATTTGGAAACATAGAGATGCCTATCTAAAGAATACTTTGAGGGTGATTGCAGACATAGCCGACCGAACTCCATTCAAAGACGCCAAACAACGCAACCAGGGTATTTTTCAGAGTAGACAGATATCCTCCCAGACATGGCGAGAAATAAGAGAAAGAAACACGTGGACAAAGAGGTAAGCGAAGGATGCGCAAGCTATGTTCGTATCATACAGGGTCATGAGAAATGGACTAGTCATCAGTGTGGCAGGGAAAATATAGCAGTTTAACTCCGAAGGACTCGGGCTTGATGCGTCCGCATTGACTGGCCAAGTGCAGCGCATCATTAAGTCTCTCCCCAGAGGCCAAAAACGGAGAGATCTTCCGCCATGTAGAGAAGGCCGTTCTCCGAGAATAACACATCGGACAAGGGTGTTTGCCCTCCAGCATCCGTTCCCATTCCTGGTTGAGCGGTGGTGAGGGTTCCTCCCGGTGAACAACCAATGGGTATTCCCGTTGTTGTCAGAGTAGATATAGTACTATCGTACGGCAGCGCACCGGCTCCTTGAGGACCACACAGGGTATCCCAAGTGTCATTCTCCGATTGACCTGTGGAGGCTATGTGTTCCGCCCCTTGTGCAGAAAGCGAGCCTGTGGTGAGCTTTTCGGGAGATAAGGGAGACGGGGCCGATTGCTCGCCATTGCGATTTACAGCCACGTTGTTGTTGGAGGCTGATGGTTCGCCTGTAAGCCCTACCTGACCAAACAACTGGTCGACCTGTTTGCTGCGGCGTTCCATCCAGTGACGGTTTCGACGGCGAACATATTCGGCCACCGCGCCTCGCAGGTATTTGATGATGTGGTAAAAACGACAGGCATGCGGATCATGCGGTACAAATAGTCGCAGGAACTTTTCGGACTTGTCCATACCTTCCTCGAGCGGGAGAAGATTGTCATACTCAGCAAAGAACGCGGCTCCCAACACGACGGCCGAGTTGAATACTGAATTGATCAGGAAAGGTAGCCTCCGAGGTAGAGCTTCAAATCGAGACAAATCGTCCACAATGTTGAGACAGCGTAGAGCAGAGTAAACACAGGCGTCAGAGAAAAGAGCGATGCGAGAGGCGCTGGCTCTCGGATCAGTGGAGCTGATACCGGGATCACCGTTACTTCTGACGTATTGAGACACACGAAATATAAAGAACGGCCGAGTTAACAGGATGATTGACCAGTAATATGCGCCGAATACATGAGCCGCAGCCAGCATGCTCTCAAGATTTTTTGAACTCAACCGCTCCGTCTGGCCGCTGAGAAAGGTTGGCAGGTTCCGGACCCAAGCGCGGTGCTGATTTGAGATCGTTTCCGCAACATTGATCGAGACGACTTGTCTCATATAGACTTCCGTTAGGATGCGATCAAAGATACGGCACAATGCAACCACGCATAGGGATAGCTGCGCTTCTGAATCGGGTCGCTGTTGCTCCCCTGCAATTGTCGCCTGATCACGTATATCATAATCAAAATCCGAGGTCGCCGGCGGACGTCCTAAGGAGGCGCTAAGGAACAGGTCCATCATCCGTAAGCTTTTCCAAACACGCTCCCGAGCCCGACGCTCACGTGTACAGAATAGGGCATTCGCATCCCTTCGATGAATGCCAACGGCATATGCGGCCCGTAAGGCGATTCCCAGGTTCATGAACGCGCCATTGCGACGACACGCACCAAGCATATACATTGAGATCAAGACGTAAGATTGGATCGTGTAGATGCTGGGGGTTTCGGTGAAAGCGGAAAATGCTAGCTGGCGGCCACTGACGAAGTACTGTTCGGCGAGATCCTGATTGATCTCCGAAACCTGACCTCCTATGGCGAGAACAAGGTAGAATATCGAGCTGACAGTATCTTCGTCGCCAGTCGGATTCCCGACCCAGTTGGCGAGCCGCGGATAGAACTCATCGAGATCGAATAGATCCAGTAGTGGACTGGTAGCAAGGACATATTGACGAGCAAGTCGTTGCGCCTCGTCATTACTCGGCGGCGCAGATAACGGTCCTGTTTGGGTAGCCGAACTACTCTGGAAAGCCTCCAGCATGGAGTGCCGTGACGTATCCTCTGTGAACTCGCATCGCCCGATTGACAAAGAGACGATACGACGTACACTCTGCAGGAACGATAGGCTCGCAGAGTCACCAATATACATGAATTTGCCTTGTCCATCACGAAGGAGCCTGGCGACCTTGGGTACAGGCGCCGTCCCATCCTTGTCATCCGTTGTTTGTTGCTCCACGTCTGCGCTATGATCCTCGAGGGCGTTCAGCAAGCGATCCATGGCCGTTTGCCTCTGCGGCGTCGGTACCATGTTCTCGCTAAGAAGCATAGTCTCCTTAGGAGCATTAGCCTTCAGTAAGCGGGCCGGTTTATCGGAGAAGTTGCATTCCGCTTCCTTGCGACGCTGTATGCAAATCGTACACGGCTGTTCTCCGTTACATTTCTGCTTCCTCCGTTTACAGCTGTCGCAAGCTCTCCGGCATCGAAGCCGTGCGCCAGGAGCTGTACTAGCCCTGGGCATGGCTTAAAAGTGTAGCGTCTTTGCGCAAGTGATCGGGCCACGGGATATTCATGGATGCATGGAATGTCGGTGCCAAGACGAGGGGTCTGTCCCGTAGAGATGTTGGATTGCAAAGCGGAGGGAAAATGCCAGGACCCGAGCTGGCTATCAAGTGCTCAGGAAATCATTTCTCAGTGGGCAAACCCATAATTAGTGCGACAGTCAGAATGCTTGCCCGAGAAAGAAGAAGAAGAGGCGAATTGAAGCTGTCAAGTTTACAGGACGATCCGATCCCCCGGGATTGGCACTGCGGAGACAGCTGCTTACTAAACTGCCGCTGGCACGAGCCTTTTCCTTAAAAACGTAGTAAAATTCAGCCATCAACTAAGGAGCGATATCTTTAAGTGCTTCGGACCTTTCAATTGGGCAATAAATGAAAGGATCTGGACCACAATGTAGGTCTGAGAAATACAATCATTTCTCTTACATGTATTTCTACCGCACATCCCTTGGTCCTCCATCGAAGAACTACAGCTATACATGCTAGCTGCCATATGGAACACGATCTTCCAGGTTTTCCGGTCATATTTTCAGATGCGTCGTATGAAGATTGAGTAATATCCATGGCGTAGTTCATCAGGTGTCACATATGATTCGCACCCGTTTATTCTGACCGGAATGATACCACTTTACCCCAGGTGTCAGCTGTGCCCCAAATGCCCTGTCGCAGGCATGACAGTTGAACAATCTGACTATGGTCGACGAACAAGTTCACATCGATGCCAAACTCCCTGATATACCAGTTGAACACCTTGGGATCTGCCGCCTCGAACATGACCCGCTCAGACGGCAATTCCTTCATTATTGTGGACACAACGTCAGTCCGCCATGACTGCACATTTTCTGTTATGCCCTCAGATTCGATCATTAAGCGTTCGACACCCGCGTCGAGGAATTTACGGCCCATGTTAACGAGCTTTCCAGGGTCGGAAGTCCCAATAGCTTCGAGGCCAGAAGCAGGTGTATCACCACCAGCACCAAACTGAATGCCGAGCTCTGGCTTTGCCTTCAGCTTGTACGCGTGGACTTTGTCAACCAGGCGGAGCCAGTCATCTTCTGGGAACGATAAGAAACCAGACGAGAGTTCAATAACATCGAATCTTTCATTGTGTTAGTCTCGAATCTGGCAAATGGTACGAGAGGCAGAGTCTCGACGCGCTTAAACGAACCCGAGCTCCTTGCATTTCTTGAGATACTTATCAAAGACAGTATTGGCGTCGGGATGTGTGAGAAGATGCTCAGCCCATCCCCCCTGTGATCAGTGGACTCCTGTTAGATGCTGATTTCCTGGTTTCTGCGACTGGACAAAGCCTACAGTTGAAACATAAACACCGTAGTCGTGGGCGAGGTCTATCAGTTCCCTCAAGGGCTTCTCCTGGAAGAGAGAGAAAGAGCCTGGATCTCAATCAGCCGAGCTCAACAGGTGGTACGCTTCTGTGATGCGTACCTCCTGCGAATTTCAGACCATCTACATGGGTACCCATTCTGAAAAGAGCGTCAATGCCGGTGTTGCGAATCCCTTGGCGGCTCCTTCGATGCTTACGTTTCTAGAACATCGGCTAAGTATCGCTTTCCCATCACCTAGAATATACCGCTTGATCAGCTCTGCAATTCTCGCCCTGCCCTATGCTCGCTCTGGTTTGTCTGCGTTCCTGAAAGCACATACCGTATAGTATGGACCTCTGATCTCTGTGACCCCTTTGCTCCTAGGCTTGGGAAGCCTAGGGTTAGATCGTGCAAACCCAAATCCATGGTGTTTGTCTTGGAGCAATGTCAGTTGCTTTTGTGCCGGATATGATGTCGCAAAATATCTTGATAAGCCAGTTGCCGCGAGTCTGAATTTCTGTCGCGGGACAGGCCCAGCGATATATTTCGAGGTCGTAGCAACGCGAGGTGTGGATGCCAGCATGATCTCGTTTCCCTGCCCTTAATTTGAATGAGACAATGTTTGAAATTTCGCGTTCTACTTTGGCGACTCGAGTCTTCCTTTGTTTCTGGCATTCGCGTGGCGTATGAATCGAGATAGCTGCTGCTAATTAAGGGTAGTATGGCCCTAAGCAGTTCCCGTCGCTACGGGGTGAGTTATTTGACGTCAACCAGATGTAACTCAAATGCGGGATATCTACCGCTCGTAAACAATGGATATTATGTCCTTCTTTGTCTCCTTGCATAGCATCATGAAGTCAAGATGGCGACAGTCCTGAGGGCTGTGACGTCATTTATCCTCCAGACAACTGCTGCTCCAGATGCGTGAATTGATTGCCAGCTTGGATGTACATTATTTCAGCTCACTGCTACTCAAGAGGTTACAACAACCATGCTAATAGTATAAGCTCCCAACCATCAAAGACGATAGGTGTATTTTATAGGTGTATTTGACTAAGGGGTTCCATGCTGGACTCCCCTATAGATCGATCAACGCGCGACTTGAGGTCCCATATTCTTGGCGGTTGTCCATAATAGCGTGCATCCTCCACTGTTTCTTACCACATGAAGCCAGATGAGCGTGGGGTTGATGTGAGTTATCTAATCTGGTATCCTGATGCCAGCATGGAATTGAATGGTCGACATCGGTAGCCATTTAAAGAAGTACCCGCAACAGTTTACAAACCTATCTGTGTAATAGTGAATAGATGGCATTGAAAAGCAGAATACTATCTCTTTACCGCATATGCTACATTTGAAGGACTGGACCCTCTGAGAGAGAAACACTTCAGTCCCTCTTCCGTTGATACTCCGCATGGTTCGAGGTATAAATTGATACCAACCTCGCTTGGATCTCTCCGTATTACCTTCAGTGTGGCGCAACATAGATATAGTATTGTAGGTTATTTATCATCTATTCAACTCCTCACATCCTATTTTCGTACTTTCCGCCAATTTTCAAAAAGAATATAATTTGAATAGAAGATGAATTCCATATCCAAAGGGTAGAAGAACATTAAAAAGCGAAGGGTAGAAAAGACCCGCTAACAAGTTTCAGATTTCCATCATAACCGACAATTTTAGATTCAATCGATTAGTGGGAAGGCCGAACTCACAAGTCTGACACTGTAACCGACTGAATGAATCAGGGCAACATTGGCTGTCGAGTTACAAAATTCAATATATGATTGATCTACATAGGTTGTAACTTAGAAGCTTCATGTACACTTCGAAGCCCTGTGGCCCACCGTCCACACTGGTTGGTCTCCTGGTTACCCGCAGATGTGCTTGATCCTCCAGGTAAACTCTTGTTAACAACAGGAGTGCCTCCTTAGCCTATCAACTAATGATTCATTCAATACCAGGAGGTCCATCCAGCCAAGGCGAGTGCTTATGATTTCTACGTAGATTCGGAACTCGGATGTCTCATGCGCCGACTCGGTGACGCTCGTTTTCCGAAGCCGCCAATGAATAATTTAGGTACGGACAGTTCGAGTCCTGATAGTGTCTCTTGACCAATTCTCTCTTATTCTAGAGGCGGGATATCAATGATTATGTTAGAGGCGCATACCAAACCTCTCCTTGCATGTATGGCTTCCTCTTCTGGATGCCAGGTGTGGAGTACCCAACAGTGATGATAATCAAACTGGTTGTGCATAAACCTCTTATCTATCTACTGAGTATAGGATACCTGAATAAAAATAATGGACGAGCTGAAGGGATAAACATTATGTGCACCTTATCATTGGTTGCTGCCACGCCGCACAGGCCAAGTTTAGCGTATCACGAATGGCTACCTAATGGCTACCTACCGCGACCTACGTAGGCTCATGTGACGTGGCACAAGTGCCGAATCTACAAAGACAAAGCTAGGAATAGACTTGTTTGACCGTACGGATTACCACAGCTGATTGGTAGTAAAGGCCACAGATACAAAGAAAGATTTTTCTGGCGAAGCGCAAGATTTATTGAATTAGAGAGGTACTCATTTTCGAGAATATTCAAAATTCTACGGAACCCACAACATGATGGGGACCATGACTCCATGAGTAAGGGTTCCGGACTCCGAGGCCCAGAATCTGGTAGGGCTGTTCTTGGGCTTTCCGTGGTTTCCGCTTGGCCCTCCATACTGTCTTGGCATTTTTCATGTTTGGCAAGTAAACTTCAACTGACATTGTGACAAACATCGAATTTTGAACTAGATAGGACAGTAGACATATATGATGGCAAAGCATAAAGTAGTAGAATATAATGACTGATAATTAAAACAGCATGGGAACTCCTAGTTCACCTGGTATAGACTAGAGAGTTAGATACTAAGTCATCATTGCATACTGAGAAGGCCCTTAGCGCACAAATATTATGAATGCTCCCTGATGTTGCATGGGTCCCAAAACCCGGTTGCTCCGGACGTACATTGCCACTCCTTGTTTGGTACACGGGACCTCCCATAGTTCCTAGGTAGCTCTCCTTTGTACATGGCTCCCTCTGGTAAGGCTCAAGAGACTCAAAGAGGAAGAAAACCTGGCAAAAAAAGGAATAGATACTCTCAAATACTCTGGATTACTATGATATATTCTGTATTACACTCTGTAGCAAGTATGCACCTTAGCAGAATTGATCTACGATTTTCCGCCTTGGGCTGATAGAAACTGGAGCTTTCGGAAGGTGCCCGCGTGCGAATAACTAAGAGGGGCAAGTGGTATGCTAGACCCCATCCGAGCCTTCCTCAACCTTGATTGACCAAGCTACCAATACGAGGGCGGGTTGTTTTGTCATGAATTCAAGGTCATCCATTGATTCATGATGCTTGGAAATCCCTTACCACCCGGATTGCCCCCTCCCAAGTCGCAATCTATTTATCTCTCTTTCTCAGGTCTCACTACGGAGCACTTATTCACTCATTGTTTCACTAGTCTTCTTTGTCAACCCGAGGGAACCAGGTATTCAACACGCTTGCTTGGCCTATGTACCTAGCTCATGCTCGCGTGCGCCTCTAGCCGTCTAGCTCTTCCTATGTGAATGATGTTGTCATTCCTTTCCAAGTTTCCAGCACACAACTCCGTCCTATAGTAGTCTCAAATCTCCCATCATTCGTGCCATATAGTGTCCCAGTGCCTGGATTCTTCTGGGTGTGACCTACCTACCTACCTACATACTCTTATCTTTAGCGATTCCATTTTCTTGGTATCGACATTTTCCTCCCCTACCTTCGAGTACCCTCATTCTTCTCCCTGGCTATCTCCTGTCTCGCCTCAAGGGCTCTTTGTCAACATGGGAGCTGGGGCTATCCTAGAGCCTCTGGTAGTAATTGTCCTACTCTTCGGAGGGACTTGGATAAATCGGTCTACCGCAGCTTTCTCTTCAGTGCGCAGAGTTCGTAGATCCAGCACGTCTACACGTGCTTGTTCTCCAGACTCGCTGGAGTCGGGCTTATCGTCGCCAACGGCCAAGGATGCTCTGTTGAATTCACGATCCCCGTCACCAACACTGGTACAACTCGACGACGCTCGATGGCGCAAACGCCAGATTCGGATCCTCTCGTACACCTTTGAGGTCAAATCACCAGATACTACTGTCTTTCAAGACCGTCTTCTTAGTCGCTTGCTCCGGAAATTCCCTTTCCTTGTTGAGTGCTGGTATTGGGCCTTGGTTTACTGGGTATGTTCTGGTTCTCTATATTGTCAACAAGTCTCTTCTGCGCTTTGAGAAGGGAAGCAAAAGGAAACAAAAATATGCTTACACGCATACTCTAGACATATCAACTGGGCCGCGCATTCACTGCTGTCACCCTTCAAGAAGGAACCGTTGATGTAGCAAGGAAACATGCTCTTCAGATCATCCAAATAGAGAAAAGCTTGCGCATCTTCTGGGAGATCTCAATTCAGCGGTTTTTCCTTCGGCACAGTCAGCTGATGTCCGTGATCAACTGGGTGTATTCCTTCATACACATTCCAGGCACTATTGCCTTCCTCGTTTGGCTCTACTACTACACCACGACGCGAAACCGAGTCGATGAATCGCAGATGGGAAAGCCCTTGGGTGCTGCGAAAGGATCCCCTGCTGGCCCGCTGCTTTATCAAGCCCGGCGCCGTACCCTCGCTGTTTGCAATCTCCTCGCTTTCGTGGTCTTCACTCTCTGGCCCTGCATGCCCCCTCGTCTCCTCAGTGACAAGAATGTGAAAGGCCCCGACGGAGAGCTAGGACGTAGCTACGGCTTTGTCGATACTGTGCATGGCGTCAATGGTGCTGGTAGCGTCTGGACTGAGAATCGGTTCTGTAATCAATACGGTAAGCATTGGTCATTCTGTATTGCGCTTTGAAGTTCTTCTCTTCGGTGCTAACTGGAATCTTGTCGACAGCTGCCATGCCTTCGTTGCACTTTGGATATTCCCTAATGATTGGGCTTACAATCATGACTATCCCATTGACGCCACATCAACGGCGACCTGCTGTTCGCTCGCGCTTGTTGAGTCGCGCGCTGGGATGCCAGCTCCCGTCATGGTCCCGCCTAGCCTGCTTGTTGGTCGGATTTCTCTATCCGTTCATTATATTAGTCGCAATCGTCGCCTCGGCCAACCACTTCATTCTCGATGCTGTTGCAGGGACAGTCGTCTGCGTCCTAGGATGGCGGTTCAATGGCATCTTATTGAATCTTCTGCCGTTGGAGGACTATTTCCTCTGGCTAGTTCGCATCCATAAACCAGAGCCCACAGCGATGGACGGTGTCGATTACTGGGACGATGACGAAGTACCGAATCATCCTGCTCTTTACCGATGAACTACTCTCTGACGCGTCATGTCGGACCTCCACTTGGAACCGAACTTTAAGATATCCTTCTCTATTCTTTATCTATTACTGCTGTGGGGTTCTATAGACCTCGTTTTGGTTTATTGTTCCACGAAGCCTGCCCTTTCACCTATGATCACAATGCGACTTATGACACTCGGGAAAGGACTAGTAACGACTGTATCTTTTCTCCA